CTCCCCTTGCGCAGCAAGGGTGCGGTCACTGAGGTGCTGATCGACTGGATCCGCGAGGCTCGTCTCCAGCTCAGGAAGAGCTTCGGCTCTGACTTCCCTGTTCTGCGTCTGCACTCGGACAGAGGCGGAGAGTTCTCTTCTCGCCTTCTGCGAGACTACTGTCGTGCACGGGGGATCCGCCAGACCTTCACGCTTCCGGACTCACCACAGCAAAATGGGATTGCTGAGCGCCGCATTGGCATGGTCATGGATGTCGCTCGTACGTCCATGATGCATGCGGCTGCCCCCCATTTTCTGTGGCCGTTTGCGGTGAGGTACGCGGCGCATCAGCTCAACCTTCACCCCCGGGTCTCTCGGCCTGCGATGTCCCCAGCCTTGCTGTGGACGGGGAAGGTTGGCGATGCGTCTGTGTTCCGTGTCTGGGGATCTCGGGCGTTTTTTCCGCGACTTGTCTGCGGACAAGCTGTCCCCTCGTGCCGCCCCCTGTGTCTTCCTTGGCTTCCCCACTGACGCCCCAGGGTGGCAGTTTTACCACCCCTCCTCTCGTCGTGTTCTGTCCTCCCAGGACGTCACGTTCGACGAGTCAGTCCCCTTCTACCGTCTCTTCCCCTACCGCACTCCTTCCCTCCCACCTCCCCCGGACTTCCTTGTGCCGGTTCCCCCCCCGAAAGACCCCCTCCCTCCTCAGGTTCCTGCCCCCTCAGATGTGTCCCAGGTAGACGCCATTGACCCGGTCGAGGTTACTGGTGACTCTGGTGCTGCTGCGGGTGCTGGGCCTGGGGGTGCTGACTCTGGGGGTGCTGTGCGCGGGGGTGCTGAGCCTGGGGGTGCTACTGCTGGGGGTGCTGACCTGAGGGTGCTACTGCGGAGGGTGCGGAGCCTGGGGGTGCTGAGCCGGGGGGTGCTGTGCCTGGAGGTGCTGGGTCTAGGGGTGCTGGGTCGGGAGCTGCTGAGCCTGGGGGTGCTGAGCTGGGAGCTGCTGAGCCTGGGGGTGCTGCGTCTGGAGCTGTTGAGCCTGGGTTTTCTCCTCCTGCTGCGTCTCGCCGGGAGCCCCTCTCTCCACAGGAGCTGCGCGAGTGGTTCGCTCGCCGCTGGAGGCGTGCTGCAGAGTCTGTAGGTGCTGCTGGAGCTGGAGCTTCTTCGACCATCGAGGGTGCGGGTGCTGCCGGTCCCGGAGCTGCTGGACCTGCGGGTCCTCCTGGAGCCGGAGCTGCTGAGGGCGTTGGTGCTGCGCCTACTGCTGTTGGTCCTGCCGCTGGAGGTGTGGGTGGCGCTGGTGCTGTCGCTGAGGGTGCTGGTGCTGTCCCTGCTGAGTTTGGAGCTGCCGCGCGGCCTCGGCCGTACTTCGTTCCGCTCCTGCAGCAGGTTCTTGGTCTTTCTCCTCCGGTAGAGGGTCCACCGCCTGTCCAGTCGCAGTCCCTACTGGAGCCTTCCTCTCCACTGCCTGCTCCCTCTCCTTACACTGGTCCTACTGGAGGTCTTGCTGAGCGCCGTGAGCCTGCGTCTCGTCCCGCGTCGCCTGTTCGTGCTGCTCGCGCTAGTGGTCGCAGTTCGCGTCAGCGTCCTCCTCCTGTCCCTGGCACGCACCGGATGTCTCTGCGTCCGTCCACTGCTCCTCTGCGTGCCCCTTTGCCTTCTCCTCCTGAGTCCTCTCTTCCTGCGCTTGCCGACCCTGAGTCGGACTCTCTTCGTGCTGCCAGTCCTACTGTCACGCGTCTGCTTGCTACTGTCGTCACTGACCCCTCTTTTGAGTCCACTGCTGCGTCTGCTCTAGTCGCTGAGCTCGTCGACTTTGCTGCTCGCTGTCGTCTCGACTACACTGCTAGTCTTGTTGCTGAGTCTGCGGCTGTCTGTCCTCCGTCCGTCGGGGGTGAGTGTGCTCTTGGCACGGACGTCCTTGAGGACAGGCAGGAGGAGTTACAGTGTCTAGCGGCTGCTTCACCTCATCTCGCGTCTGTACTGCTTGCCCCTGAGGGAGACCCGGATGCACTAGACATCCCGACTCCGCGTTCTTACGCGGAGGCCGTAGAGGGTCCCTACTCCTCTCAGTGGCAGGGAGCTATGGATGCAGAGATGGCTTCCTGGAAGTCCACAGGCACCTACGTTGACGCGGTTCCCCCTCCCGGGGCGAACATCGTCAGTGGCATGTGGATCTTCAGGGTGAAGCGGCCGCCGGGCTCTCCACCTGTCTTCAAGGCACGGTACGTCGCTCGTGGCTTCAGTCAGCGGCAGGGAGTTGACTACTTTCAGACCTTCTCTCCCACCCCGAAGATGACCACTCTTCGGGTGCTGCTGCACATAGCCGCTCAGCGCGACTACGAGCTTCACTCTCTTGACTTCAACACTGCGTTCTTGCAGGGTAGCCTGCACGAGGAGATCTCGCTTCGCCGTCCACCTGGCTTCACTGGGACTTTCCCTCCTGGCACCCAGTGGAGCCTCCGACGGCCAGTCTACGGTCTCCGCCAGGCACCGCGTGAGTGGCACGACACACTGAGGACTACGCTTGCGGCCCTTGGGTTTGCTCCTTCTACTGCTGACCCGTCGCTGTTTCTTCGCACCGACACTTCCCTGCCGCCGTTCTACATCCTCGTGTACGTTGACGACTTGGTCTTTGCCACAGCGGACACTGCTGGACTCGCCTACGTGAAGTCCGAGCTGCTGAAGAGACACACGTGCACAGACCTGGGTGAACTGCGCAGCTACCTTGGCTTGCAGATCACTCGGGACAGAGCACGCCGCACCATTACCTTGACTCAGTCACACATGGTGCAGCAGGTCCTTCAGCGCTTCGGCTTCACGTACTCCTCGCCTCAGGCCACTCCTCTGCCTACTCGCCACTCACTCTCAGCTCTGCCTTCGGATGAGTCCGTAGAGTCGAGTGGCCCGTATGCAGAGCTTGTTGGCTGCCTCATGTACCTGATGACCTGCACACGACCTGACCTTGCATACCCTCTGAGCATTCTTGCACGCTATGTTGCTCCTGGGAGACACAGACCAGAGCACATGGCTGCAGCGAAGAGGGTATTGCGGTACCTGTGCAGTACGTCAGGCATGGGGCTAGTGCTTGGAGGGCGGAGTCCAGTGGTCCTTACCGGCCACGCGGACGCTTCTTGGGCTGACGACCAGGCTACGCAGCGGTCGTCACAGGGTTACACCTTCAGCCTTGGTTCCGGCTCTGTCTCGTGGCGGTCTACTCGCTCGTCTTCGGTTCTCGGCTCCAGCTGTGAGGCTGAGATCTACGCCGGGGCCATGGCTGCACAGGAGCTTCGCTGGCTCACCTACCTGCTGACTGACCTTGGAGAGCCGCCTCGTTCTCCTCCAGTGCTGTACGTAGACAACAAGGCCATGCTGGCCTTGTGTCGAGAGCAGCGCTTGGAGCACAGAACGAAACACATTGCTCTCCGCTACTTCCTTGCTCGTGAGCTGCAGCAGCGTGGTCAGTTGCGACTTGCGTACGTGGCCTCTGAGGCCAACACTGCTGATGTGTTCACCAAGGCACTCGCGCCTTGTGACCATCAGCGCTTTTGCACCCAGCTGGGTCTTGTGCCTGTCTTGCCTCACTTGCTCTCCTCTTGACTTCACTTGTACTGTGACATATATATATACCTGCTCTTGCTTGTCTAGTTTTATATATATGTCTGTACTCCTGCATGTGAACTGGCCTCTGGCCCTGCTCTTGTGCTCGGACTGTGTGGTGACTTTGTGATCCACCCTGAGCTTGCTTTTCTTTGCTTTGCTTGACTGGTCTTGTGACCCCTTGTTCTCCCCCACTTTGCCTATGGGGGCGTGTCAGATTATTATAGGTGATGCATGTTTGTAGGCTATAGTGGGGTAGCACATATGGGGTACAGCTTTCTAGGGTTGCATTTGTACCCAACTCGGACTTAGTCATTTCATTCTTGTTCATTCTTTTCACAGCTCGATACCATGAGAAGAGTTTAGCAATGAATGAATGAACTATGAATGAAGTGAGTACAAGTACTAACCCTAATTGGTTTGTACCCCTTATGGGCTACCCCACTATAGCCTACAGAATATGCAAAAGCTATATGTTCTGACATCTGCTTCATAAAAAATATACAATATAATAAGACCCGAGTATTATACTGGATTTTCCGTTGAGGAGACCCCCCCCCCATTTTTTTCCGGTGGTTTTCATAATACCCTAGGGTGTTTTATCCGGGAGAATACGGTATGTCTTATCTCGTACACACAAATAGGTGTCGTATAAAAAGGCTAGCCTGTTTATAAGAGACACCCGTATAATAGACAACCCCTGTGTGCTATTCGCCACTGTCTTATATCCGGGCGATGACGGTACATTGTCCTACTCAAAATTTAGTCCTGCAAAGATCCTAAGGGCTTTTCTCAGCCCAACAATGTACACCACCTTTCTTAGGGGGGGGGGGGGGGGGGGGGGGGGGTAGTGTTGTAAGGAATTTTCTCGGATTCCTTACTGGGTCACACTGTACGCGTACAACCCCGGTTTTTCAGAAAACCAGGCTCAGCCCGCCGACCTCGCCTCCGAACCACCATCGCGTCGCCTTTGTGTTTCCCAACACCAAACCTGCACCCAACCATCTCGCGACCCCGCGATCTCGGCCTAGCAAGGATGGCTATATTAGTTCTAGGCCTCGCTGTTTGGTCAGACGTAATCACTTCCTCGTTGTTGAATTCTGCGCACTCTTCTCTTTCACAGCTCATAACAGCGTGAGTGCTTGATTGAAGTTTGCTATGAATGTGTGATATGGTAATTGAGAGCAAATTACTCTATGGCATATGCGAGAACAGAACAAAACCCTAATTGAGTGTGGAGAGTGAAAATGATGCAGTTGCATCAGCGATGTAACATTGACCACTTCATATGCAAACTTGGCGGATCCCATCCCCTCCTCGACCTCCTCCTGTCCCTCCCCATCCCATACCCTATGCTATTGCCAATACCCCCATGTGTGAGGATACAGGTACTGGTACATCCGCCTCATGCCATACCCCATCCTTCACATCCCATTCGGAATGCCTACCATTCCCCCCATCCCATGCATCATGCCACAATGGCCTGCATCGGCACTGCCCCCAGCACCAGCAGCTTCCCCAACACCACCATCCGCCCCACCCTCCCACAGAAGCATCAGCTGTACCTGCTACACACCCCCAGGGTTGCACAACGAGGGTGGGTACAGGAACTCTAAACTGGCTAAAATCTGAGTCGCGATCGAGAATTCCCAACAGGTGCACTACGCGGGTGGAGGGTGCAGGGCCGGGGTCAGCCAGTATAGGCACCATGGCGGGGAACTTAACCCCCTGGGGGGATGCAGACTGCTGCTGTGATGCAGGCTGTGTGCTCCCCTGCTGCCCCTGCTGCTGCCCCTGCTGCTGCCTCTTCTTCTCCTGCTGCCCCTGATGCCCCTGCTGCCGCTGTGTCTGCTGCCTCCTCCTGCTGTCCCTACCCCTGCTCCTGCCTCTGCACCAACCCACCTGCTCCTGCCCCTGCACCAACCCCAACCCCTCCACCACTACCGCCGCCGCCACACCGATCCGCTACCAGAAGCAGCAGTACTGCCAGCTCAGTTCTATAAATAACCGCATTTCAACCAAAGAAGGATCAGGAGTACAGTAGTAACACAATAACAAAAACAAAAAAAAAACGCTCCAGCACTTCAATCCCCAGCACTTCCCCAGCTGCCCTTCACTTCGATTCCCAGCACTTCCCCAGCTGCCCTTCACTTCAATTCCCAGCACTTCCCCAGCTGCCCTTCACTTCAACTACATTCTGCCTCTCCATCAACAACTGAGGCAGCACCTCTAGCTGCAAGCACCCGTCCAGATCCACCTCCCTCAGACAGGACAAACTGCCCAAGTTGCTGGGCAGAGCACGTAATCCAGTGCACTCTCTTAGAGAAAGTTTGACAAGGGACGAGAGGAGGGGGAGAGTGGGCGGGAGAAGGTTCAGACCAGGCAGGTGGTTCAGCTTTAGAGATGCGAGGTGGAAGAGAGAGGAAATGGAATCTGGAAGGCTGGTGATGCGGGAACAGTCAACAATGCTGAGGCATATGAGGGAGGTCATGAGAGTGAGGGAAGCAGGAAGGCCTTGCAACTCCTTGCATGATTCAAGATGCAGGCTGAGAACCTTCAGCTGCCCAAGGTTCTCGGGCAGGTTGGTAAGTAGCGGGAGAGTCTTGATGGAGAGCCGTTCAAGATTGGAAAGGTCGGAGAGGCAGGCAGGAAGGAGTGGCATGGCAGGGCACTCCTCTAGAACAAGTACTTTCAGCCCTCTCAGATCACTCAGGTTATCTGGGAGCGAAGGCAACCTGGTATTGCTGATGTGGAGGAAGGTGAGAGAGGATAGGAGCTCCAACCTAGCTTGCCTGATGGATTCGGGGAGCATAGGACTCGAGTTTTCAGGAGGAACATGAGGCGCGGCTTCCCCCTTCCTTTTGGATGGATTTTGGTGTAAGGACAGAGGGGCTATCAGCTGCTGGAGGGATTGGAGGCCTTGGATCTTCAGACTGGTGAGGCGGCTGAGGGAAAGAAAGGACTCTGGCAGGTAGCGAGCTCTCTCAAAGGTGTCGGAAATGGAAATGGAGGTCAGGGAGCGAGGAAGGGAGATAGGTGCAGAAAGAGGCAGGGGGTCGACCGGTACAGTGGGAAGCCAAACGGTCTGGTCGGCAAGTCTTAGATTCTTGCAGTCTGCAAGAGTGAAATCTTCCAGCCTAGGCAGCAGATCGAGGCCCTCTGGAAGACATTCCAGTTTGGGGCAGCCAGAGATCTTCAGGCGCTGGAGTGACGGGAGAGGAATGTAGCTAGCAGAGGGGCAAGGATCGGCTCCGGAAGAACATGCAGTGGCAGCAGCAGCAGCGGCAACGGCGGCAGCAGGAGCAGCAGTCACGGTGGCGGCGGCGGCGGCAGCAGCAGCGACAGAAGGTCCTGGATCAACGCGAGCCAAGAGCGAAGGGAAGACACGCAGATTCTCGCAGTTCATCACCTCAAGAGCTGTAAGGCTGGACAGATTGCCCATGCCTATTGGCAGCTCCACTAGCTCCTCGCATCCGTCGATTATCAGCAGCTCCAGACGGGGGAGGTTAACTAGCGAGTGTGGAAGAGCACGAAGAGCGCATGACCCGCTTAAGGCAGACTCAGAAGCAACCTCTGCTTCCGGATTTCTCGGACCAGAAGTTAAGAAAATGTCAACATCGAACCCCCTCCTGGTGTAAGTATCCCTGGTACCAATCTTAAATTCTTTCAAGTTCGCTAAGTCTCCAAAATCTTCAGGCAGTTCGGTAATGGAGCAGTTAAACAGCTCCAATCTCCTCAGCTGCAGCAGCTGCTCAAACCCAACAGGCGGCATTTCAATACAGGTTCCACCATAGATCTCCAAACATTCCAGTGAAGAGAGGTTAGAGAAGGAGTCTGGAAGGTCAGTCAATTCGTAGCACGCATGCAGCATCAGCTCCCTCAGCTTCCCAAGCTGCCCGAAAGATTCCGGGAGCGCCAATATCCAGGCGCAAGACAGCTTCAACAATGTCAAGCTCTGAAGCTGCCCGATGTCTTCAGGCAGCTCACAAACAGCACAGCAGTCGAGAACGAGGCTGGTGAGAGACCCCATGGCGGAAACAGACTCCGGGAAACATTCCAAGTGGGGGCAGTCAACGACTTTCAGCTCCTTAAGACCGGAGAGCAGTCCAACGGAGTCCCGAAGCACGTTGAGCTCATCAAGAGCGTCCAGGTGCAGGTACTGGAGAGTATCAATCAGGCCGATGTCGTCGGGTAGCGAGGCCATGTCTAGGCAGTTGTCTACTGTGAGGCGACGAAGGGACTGGCTGGCGGATAGGGAGTCTGGCAGTTGCGTCAGTAACGGGCAGGTGTGAATATATATTTCCTGTAGAGCTGGCAGCTGGTCGATACTCTCAGGTAGTGCTGTCAGAGCCATCAGTCCAATCAGCTCCAGTGTGTCCAGATTGGGCAGTTGGTGAAGGTTTTCGGGCAGCCTGGTGAGCTGCGGGCAATGGCTGAGAGAAAGGTGCATAAGGCTTGAAAGCTCGCAGATCGAAACTGGCAGTTCAGAAACTTCTTCTAGAAACATGAGGCTGATGAACTTCAGATTCCGGAGCTGCCCCAAATTACTGGGCAGATGGAAAATGTGGGAGCCGCTGAAGGTGAGTCGCTCGAGGGAGCTGAGATAGCATATGGGATCAGGTGAAGTACTCAACGAACGCCCCGACTGAAACTGCAAGTCCTGAAGTCCCACCAGCCTGCCGAACTCCTCTGGTAACCCGGTAACGCCTTCGCTTAACTTCACGCTAAGCCTCGTGAGCTGCTGCAGACGGCTGATGGAAGCCGGAATCTCCTGAACACCGTCCAGCTGGAGATTGACCAATCGCGAGCAGGATTCGAAGATGGCAGCGACATCGGACGGTGCGAGGCTGGTCGACTGTCCATGGCGTCCGCTACTGCTGTGCTGCGTGGATCGCGAGAACCGTCGATCGTACAGGTGCATCGTGAGATGCGTCAGCGTTGAGCCGCATCCGGTGCAAATGGATCGCACGAGGTTGCTATCAATGGAGTCTAACGCGAACTCGCCAAGATGTAGGTGACTAAGATTCGAGAACCTAGATTTTGGTGGAGCGAGGAGGGAGGCGAAAGCTCGTGAGGAGAAGAAGCGGTTTCGAGGGACGATGATGGCGGGATGCACGGAGCTGGCGACGCGCAGCCATCGATTGCAGACGAGAGCGTGGCTGAACGCGACTAAGGAGCAAGTCTCGGAAGGAGGAACCTTAGTCGTGCCTAACCGCTGGCTCTCGCATGGCAGCGGCTTCCGCAATGCATCCTCAATTTTCTTCTGGAGAATGTCCTCGGTATTAGCGAGCGAATCAATGCTGTCGAATTCGTTGCCGTTAGAAGCAACAAAACGAAGGATCACACCCAGCAGGTCGTCAGAAATGCGGGAAAAGATATCACCGATCATTTTCTGCTGCGTCGCTGCAAGCGGCTGGTTTGCAGCCTGAACAAAAGGCTGCTGAGATGTTTCCGCTGGTGTTTGCGTCATGTTCTCCTCGGATGCTAGCTGAGAGGTAGGCAACATGAGAGAAACTCTAATGGAAGACTGGTAAGGTAAGGGCTTGTGAGAGCTGCTGCTGCTTGTGAATCAGAGAGTTGCTGCTGCCTGTGAACCAGAAAGTCGCTGCTGCTTGTGAATCAGAGAGTTGCTGCTCCTGTGAACCAGAAAGTCGTTGCTGCTGTGAATCAGAGAGTGCTGCTGCCTGTGAACCAGAAAGTCGTTGCTGCTTGTGAATCGAGAGTTGCTGCTGCTGGTGCTTGTGAATCAGAGAGGATGAGCAGGCTTGTTTGACAGGAAAAGTGACAATGAGATTTGGCGGGAAACCAGGCTCGTCATAAGTTCGGAGGCGAACAGTTTGGTTTGGTATGGTTTGGTTCTGGTTGTCTTTGAATGGTTTTGAACCTGTCTGGGATTTCGAATTTCTGGTGGTTCGTGGTTTTTCGTTTGTGTGTTCGTTTACCGCCCTGCGAACCGTTGAGGCAGAGCAGCTGTTTTTCACCGCTTGAGACCATAGCGCAACAGACTGAACCTCCCTGAACGAATGAAATATGGCGGACCCTATGAGGCGCGTTCGAAACTCCCACACCCCAGTGCTTCGGCGGTTTACATACAGCGAGGTTCCATCCACACCCCCAGCAAGCAAGGAAATCGTGGTCTCAGAAAAACCTACCTAGATTTCAGACCCTGGAGTGGACTATACCGTCACATTATGACTTCCGTGTTGTTATGAGCTCGTATTTTTGCTGCTTCGTACTTGACATCTGCTAATATGATCCGCCCTAAGGGTACCATTGAGCTAGCGCAAGGGAAAATGCCACAGCAGCCATGGGCCCATCAGCCAGAACGTCGGCAACGAATTAGCAGCCATGATAATATCTTTTCAAGTATTTCTGACGATTTGCTAGAAACGATTCTTCTCCTTGTCGCATCTAAGGGCACCAAGTTCGGTATCCACGACTGTCCCAGTAACGAGCCCATTCTGCAAAAAAGGATCGAGAACGCGTTGAACGAGCACCTGCCGAGCGAGAGCGTCTTGTTCGGGTTACCCGAGGCTTCTGTCGCCACAGCTTCGTCGCTCACTGCTTTCCGCCACGCTCTGGTCTGCAAGCGATGGCTGCGCGTCGCCAGATCTGTGCATCCCGCCATCGTCGTGCCTCGAAACCGCTTTTTCTCTGCACGAACTCTCGCCTCGCTCTTGATCTCACCCACCTCGGGATTCCCGAACCTTCGCCACCTGCACCTCGGCGAATTCGCGACGGACGTCGTAGATCGCCACCTCGTGCGATCCATCTGCAACGGATGCGGCTCGTCGCTGACCCATTTCACAGTGCACCTGTACGATCGCCAACCAGTGACGTCCGGTATCAGAAGAACAAGCTACCAGTCAATATTGAGCACGCAATCGGCCGGTAGTAGCCGCGGGAATCAGTCAACCAGCCTTGTACCGATCGCGGCCTCGGATGTCGCCGAAATCTTCAATTCCTGCACGCGATTGGTCAATCTGGATCTACGGCTGGGAAAAGGTGTTTGCAATATCCCACCTTCCATCAGCCGCCTACAGCAGCTCACGCGCCTCAGCATGAGTTTTCGTAACGTTACCTGGTTACCAGACAAGCTGTGCGGTTTGTTGGGACTGTTGCAGTTACTCATCGTGTCGCAGTCTCTTCGCAAGCTGCCTATTTCGTTCGAGAGTTTCACCTTTCTGGAGCACCTCTCTCTTCGCAACTGCCCTATTGGCCATCTCCCGAGCGATTTAGGTCAACTTCGTAACATCAAGATCCTAAGCCTATCGTATCTGCCACTCCTGGCCGCTCTTCCAGAATCCATTTGTCATCTGCCGACCCTCTCCCACCTTTCTCTCGACCATTGTCCCCGATTCGCCAGCCTACCAGAGAATCTTCTCCAGCTGCCCGACCTAGATACGCTGCATTTAGACGATCTGGCTGCTCTCACCGCGCTTCTCGATTCGTTCAGTCAGCAGCCCGCCGGCCAACCCTTGCGATTTCATGCCCTCCGTAATCTCACGATCCTCAATTGCTCACGCCTATCCTCGCTCCCTGACAATATCGGCCAATTTTCCGCTCTTCAGCAGCTGCATCTGAAGTCCCTTGATAATCTTACGGCTCTTCCGCATTCCCTGGGGTTCCTTACGGCGATGAAGGAGTTGAAAGTGGTTGAGTGCGTCAATCTCGTGAACCTCCCCGAGTCTGTATGCGCCATGGGAGCGCTCACAAGCCTCATTCTTGACGGCTGCTCTTTTTCAGGCCTGCTCAGAGACATTGGGCAGCTGCAAAACCTGGTCTCTGTGAAGCTGTTTTCTACAGGCCTTTCTCACCTGCCTGACTCGTTCGGGCAGCTAGGGCAGCTGAAAACAACAAGAGGTTAAACAAAAACTCACTTGATGTCCCGCTCGTTCTTGGTGCGGATCATGAACCGCACCTCCGACCTGACCACCGATATCTCTCGCATGATGCTCAGCTCCGTCTCCCGGTATATCGTCGCCTCCACTCTCGCCGCCATCTGGCATGCCTTTATGCGCCCAAGGAGCGTGTGCACCGTTGTAGATTGCACAGGCTGTGTTCCTGTGGCGTTGTCACCCTCCTTGCTGGACTCAACATCGAGATTCAACTCCCAAACCATGTACTTCACGTATGCGCGAAGCCGGGACTTGGTGACCCTAGGGCCGTGCAACCACACGTACGACCGGGGGACATCGGCCTCTTGGTCCCAGTTTTTCTTCTTGTTGTCCCGGATGTAGTGCCCTATCTCGTCGACGTGCTTAAGCCTGTACTCCTGCGGAAGCTTGTTGCGAATTTGCCTCAACATCTTCGCCGCCCACCTCTTGTAGTGATAGATCCACGAGGTGTACTGCCTCAGCGTGCTGTTCCTCTCCACGGTTTGCAGGTGGCGTAGGGCGTCCAAGACGAGCACGTCGATGGTCGCGTACACCATGTCTTCCTCGACGAAGTCTGCCGCCCTCCACTGTTCGCGCGGCACCGACAAATTCTCCTGGTCGGCATCCTCGTCCTGTTCGAGCAGATCATCTAGGTATTCAAGTTCCCGCCTGAGCCGTTCTTCCAAGGTGCGCTGACTAGTGCTACGCGACGAACGCTCGTCGTTTTCGTCATCGCTTTCCTCCTCCTCCTCCTCCCCCCCATCCTCCTCCTCATCGACCTCAACCTGGTTTCCAGAGCCGGCCGGTGCTGACGAAGTTCCTGGCCGTCCATTTCGGGTCGGATTCTGTTTTTTATTCTTGTTAATTTCCCCGATCGGCGGTGGGGGAATGTCCTTAGTGAACTCCCCTTCTGGAATCTGCGTCAGCTTGTCAAGATCGTAGAGCAAGGGGAGTGTCTCTTCCTCGGTAGATATCGGACTGTGGTCGGTGGATGGTCTAGCGTCAGTCATGTCGACGTCGGCCATGTGGCAGCACGTATGTTGCTCTACCGTCGTCCGTGTGCAATGCGGAGGCCGGTAAACCAGAGACGGTACTGATTCACAGGTGCGGTGTACGACCGAAGAGTAGCGCAGCGGTCTTCCTCTAGATAACGTTCAATAACGTCTAACTCGTGTTCGACCTCGAGATTGCGGGGGTTGGTAAACCAAAGACGGTACTGAGTCACGGGTGTGGTGAACGCCCGGAGAGTTGCGCGGCGGTCTTCTTCGAATTCTCGGTCGAGTGAATCTAACTCGACTTCGACCTCGAGCCGATCCAGCTCCGCTTTGATGTCGGCGTCTACAGAGTCGGCGGGGGTTGGAATGGGTTGTGGCTGTTGGGCTCTAGGGCGACCTCTGGCCATGCGTCGCCGACTTGCACCGATGTTTCGCTAAAACAGCAGACGTCGACGTCGATAACTACTAACCAAGTCGGCAACCGAGTAACCTACAGGCGCGATGACAGACTCGCAGCTGAAAATTCTGAGTGCACGAGAGAGCAGGAAGAAACGCAGGAACGGACATGGGAATGAGCAGGCCCGCACGGTCACGGATGGGTATGGTCCTGAGCGACTCCGATGCTGCCGCGCTTCACGCACACCCCTATGCTACTGCCACCGTGCATGTGTTCTCGCATAGGCGGCGCTCTGCCCGAAGTGCCACGTGCCAAGCATGGCTAATGTTACTTCGCGCTGCACCGAAGGGGCGTAAGCCAGGCCCTCTCCACGGTGGAATGGGCGTGTGTTACGTGGCTTGGGGCCGACATTGACCTCTCAGTACCGAAATTACAGCATGCCGACTCAAATCTCCCAGGGTCCCGGATTTATTGAAGCCCACCGTGGCAGTCTTAGCATGGGCGCCCGAAGATCGGTGCCGACTTACAATCGGCGCGCTTGATTGTTTCTTTAGGTTTATTGAACCTAGACAGTGTTGAGATTGTGCCGCGTGGCTTGGTTGTGGGCCTTTAGATGAATTGGTCGACACCGACATTGCGTGCAACTCGCGATGCCACAGAACAGTTACATCCTGGACGGTCCGATTTTTGTCGCGTGGATCGCGCTCTGACATTTTCAAAGGTGTGAACGTTTTCCCGCTTTGGGAAGTTCACCGCTGGAGCGACGCGTAGCCACGATGGCCACGTCGTGGCAGCCTAGTACACGGTGGGGACGGTCTGGATCCCCCCTATTGGTCCGCGTGGCGGCCGTTGCGGCTTGACGTGGCAAGCTTTCCTATTTTGTCCGTTGAGATTTACTTCTCAGGAATCTCCCAGCGCAAACCTATGTCGTCCGATTGTCGACATTCCCGAGGGCTCCCGAGTGTTGGAAAGCTAGAATTGATACATTGAATAATGAGCCAAGAGGCTCTTTAGTACAAACAATGAGCAAGAGAGAGATGAGAGAGAAGCTTACCCTATTGGCCAATAAGTTGACCAATGGGTGAGCTTGCTTGTGACCCAAGCAACCACAAATGTGTGTTGGTTGGGATTGGTTGAGCTAAGGACCAATCCCAACCAACCACAAAATGTGGTTGGAGGGTACACTAAGAAACCCCCCAATTTATAAATGTGCTACACTTCTAGCCTATGTATGTTGTATGAAATATGAAATTACAACACCGAGGCTCCTGGGACGCCATTTGGGCCCAGTTTGGAGCTCGGAGGTCGTCGCGAGCTTGTCAATCCCGAGGGGGGCCATTGTCCCTTCTGAACCGCGAAATTGGGCGGCGTTTTTTGGCCGCTGAGGTATATCATCCCAAAAAGCCCTGACAGCAAATTCGCCCTGGCACGGTAGTTTCGTGCTGCCAGAGCACATCGAATTCGCCCAATCACAGTTTTGCGTCGTCAGAGAGCAGAAAAATTGCCCAATCACAGCGGAATTACCCTGACACAAGAGCAGATTCGCCCTTACACGAGATTCGCCCTGTTAGACCCTGTTGCGAGTGCTGCTTTATTATGTTAGTATAGAGAACTTAGCTCACAAAATAGTAGCCGAAACAGGCTTAGCCTAAAACTACCCTGCTCAAATCAGGCTATAGGTTGATTTACCCTGCTGCAAACAGGGTACGAAAAAATTTACCCTAGGGGTCGGGCTAAGGAGAGGCTGGAACCAGGGCTCTCGTTATCAGACCAATTTGGTCTGATGGTCTGATTTTCAGACCTTTATTTTTCCTTTCATCTGAACCATAAGACAGTGCTTTTTATTTCGTCTGATCCATAAGAGAAAGGATTTTAGTTAGTCTGAATTATCAGAGCAGGCGTTACGGTATACTTCGTCCGAAATTTCAGATAGTGAGTTTCGTTTCATCTGATACCGACAATTCTGCCCACGTAGCCATAGGTTGTCAGTTCTGGCAGGCACCTTTGGTGGCTGTGATTGCACGTGTAGTAATTTGCGTCGCCTCACTGGCCGAATTTTGTAGTGTACTGTACCAGCACAAAGCCCGCCTCGTACCAGCCCAACCAAGTCCCTTTGGCCTCTACCAGCCCAGCCAAGCCACCATCCCCCCCCCTACCGCCCCCCACGTCCGCCAGCCAAGCGCTACCGTAAGTCCCCCTTGCCTCTACCAGCCTAGCCACCCTACCAACTCCAGCCCAGCACTTCACCCAACTCCCTCGCACTGTCGCAAATCTTCCAGCAAAGTCCCCCCCCCCCCCAACTCTCACATACCTTTCCCAGCCCAACCCTTCCCCCACATTGACCGCTCTTACCCTAGTCCAGCCCCACTCCCCTCTCGAGCCCCACGCCTCACAGTCCTGTCCACTAACGTGCAGTCTAATGCACCGCTGCTACGTCATCAAGATGCAAGTTGCAACATCAGACGCGGAAAAAAAATTCGTCTGAGATTTTCAGACATGCAATGGAATTTCGTCTGAAAAGAAAGACACGCGAAAATTTCCCGTCCGAACGTCAGACGAAACGGATTTTTGGGTTTAGGTTTTCAGACAGGCCAAAATCCTAGCGAGAGCCCTGGCTGGAACCCTGATTTGTAAGGGTAGGCCTAAACCAATTTTGGGCCCTGCTGGGAATGCTTTGTGCATCAAATAGTAGACTGTATCACTTAGTGTATGCACTACTGAGCGCCTCGATAACATCCCCGATGGTGGGAAAGTGCTCTCGCATGCTGGAGACGGTTCTTGTGTTAAATCAAACTTTACCGTACAATACATTACTCGGTGAATGCGCTAATGAGTGCCTCCATGACATCGCCAATAGTGGGGAAGTGCTCTCGCATGCTGGGAATGCCCCTTGAGTTGGCTCGAACGTTACCGGTACATTACATCACTCCGTGAACGCACTGCTAAGCGCCTCCATAACATCGCCAATGGTGGGGAAGTGCTCCCGCACGCTGAGAATGCTGGCAGCACCTGGAGTTTCCACCAGCGATGAGGAGTAGAGCCAGGAGGAAACCAAGGCTTACGATCTTTAGAGGGCCAGGCTGCATCACTCGGTGAATGCATCACTGAGCGCCTCGATAACGTCGCCGATGGTAGGGAAGTGCTCTCGCACGCTGGGAATGCTGGCAGCATCTGGAGCCGGCACCAGCGATGGGTAGAGCCATGATGAGACGCTGCTGATGAAGATGTCGGAAGAGGGGCAGAGGATGGACTCCCAGTCCACCTGCACACGGCACCAAGGGGCATGAGAGGATGGGTGGTAAGGACATGAGTGAGAGGCACAGGCAGCCGGCACGATGGTAGAGCCAGGAGGAGACGCTGCTAATGAAAATATCGGCTGAGGGGCAGAGGATGGACTCCCAGTCCACCTGCACACGGCACCAAGGGGCATGAGAGGATGGGTGGTAAGGAGGTGAGAGGCACAGGTAGCCGCCACGAGCGATGGGTAGAGCCAGGAGGAGACGCTGGCGATGAAGATGTCGGATGAGGGGCAGAGGATGGACTCCCAGTCCACCTGCACGCAGCGGGATGGAAAGGAAAGGACAGAAGTGAGGTTACTGACACCTGCACGCAGCACAGTGGACTATGAGAGGATGGATGGTACACCCCCCAAGAAGTGAGGTTACTGACTTGCACACCCCGGATGACGAGAAGGTACTAACTGCCTCTGATTGAGAGAGGGATCTGACTTTTGAGTCGACTCAAAAGAGTGCCCCTGATTAAGAAAGGGATCTTACCTGCACGCCCCTGGGAATCGGCTGCAAGACTTGGAGGTCAGCAGCGAGCAGGAGGGCGAGAATACTGACCTGCACACCCTTGATAAGAGAGGGTACTGACCTGCACACCCTTGATACGAGAGGGTACTGACCTGCACACCCTTGATAAGAGAGGATACTGACCTGCACACCCTTGATAAGAGATGGTACTGACCTGCACACCCTTGATAAGAGAGGGTACTGACCTGTACACCCTTGATAAGAGAGGGGTACTGACCTGCACACCCTTGATAAGAGATGGTACTGACCTGCACACCCTTGATAAGAGAGGATACTGACCTGCACACCCTTGATAAGAGATGGTACTGACCTGCACACCCTTGACAAGAGAGGGTACTGACCTGCACACCCTTGATAAGAGAGGGTACTGACCTGCACACCCTTGATAAGAGAGGGTGGTGACCTGCACACCCTTGATAAGAGATGGTACTGACCTGCACACCCTTGATAAGAGAGGGCACTGACCTGCACACCCTTGATAAGAGAGGGTACTGACCTCCACACCCTTGGCAAAGAGAGAATACTGACCTGCACGCCTCTAGCAATGGGCTGCGAGACTTGAAGGTCAACGGCCAGCAGGAGGGCGAGGGTACTGATCAGCACAGCCTTGATAAAGAGAGTCTATTTACCTGCACGCCTCTAGCAATGGGCTGCGAGACTCGAAGGTCAACGGCCAGCAGGAGGGCGAGCGTCATGACATAGCCGTTCATTGCTGTGCCGCGTGCCAATGGCATGAAGTTGTACCTGGGGTGGATCAAGGTATGGCAGGGGAGCAAAGCAGCATCACACAGCGTTAGGGCCATTCACAGATGTTCGAATTGACCCACCATTAGAGAGCACATGGTGAGAGATTTCAGCGTATGACACTCTTTCAGCGTACGCAACTTTGAACCACAGCGTGATTCTTTTGAGGCGCCTCGAAGGTCATATGACCGACCAGTAGTATGATGCCATGATGGGCACTGGCCAGCCAGCCATGCACTGATTGGCATGGCTGAGCATAAGCGCCACAAGACGAGTCAAGGCGATCTGCTTGGTGAGGTGCTGTCAGTAACGGACAGGTGGGCTGCGGAGGTCTTCTTTCCATCAACTTGAATGGTTCTTAGAACGACGGAACAAACCCCATGGAATGAATGAAAAGGAGGAGCCTGGTTACCTGTGAGCTAGAACGTTTTCTTAGAGAGCCAGCTTGAACAAATCTTCAGCTTAAAATCAGAACTTGCGTTTACCTAGTATGAAGATGGGCACTGGCCAGCCAGCCATGCACTGATTGGCATGGCTGAGCATAGGCGCCACAAGACGACCTGCTTGGTGTGAGTCAACGAGTACTAAGCCATGCCTGTGTGCTCACCAGTAGTAAGCCGTGTTTTGAGTCGACTCAAAACACGACTCAAGACGAGTCAAGGCGACCTGCATGGTGTGAGTCAACGAGTACTAAGCCATGCCTGTGTGCTCACCAGTAGTAAGCCGTGTTTTGAGTCGACTCAAAACACGCCACAAGACGAGTCAAGGCGACCTGCATGGTGAGTTAATGAGTACTAAGCCATGTCTGTGTGCTCACCAGTAGTAGGCCATTCTGAGGATGTTGACTTGAATGGCCTTGCAATAGGCCTGAAACAGATTTTGAGCAGTCTTGAAAAACCAGAAAGTGGCTATAGCTGAGTCATACTCACCAGTAGTAGGCCATTCTGAGGATATTGTCTTGAATGGCCTTGCGGTAGGCCTGAGGGTCTGAGTCACGGAGAGACGTGTGGGCCACTGCTAGAGAAATGTCCTGCGAGGCGGAGAGGAAACGAGGGGGGAGGGGAGGTGATGAGATAGAGACGAGATTGCAGGCAGTGAAAGGTTGAGACTGCGGGTCCGAGTCACGGAGAGGCGTGTGCGCCCTTGCTAGTGAGATGTCCTGCAGCGCACAAGGGAGATTAAGATAGGAGATCGAGGTGGGAAAAAGAGAGTATTGTTGGCAATGATGTTGCAAGTGAGAGAATTGATGCATTGAATAATGAGCCAAGAGGCTCTTTAGTACAAACAATGAGCAAGAGAGAGATGAGAGGGAAGCTTACTCTATTGGCCAATAAGTTGGCCAATGGGTGAGCTTGCTTGTGACCCAAGCAACCACAAATGTGTGTTGGTTGGGATTGGTTGAGCTAAGGACCAATCCCAACCAACCACAAAATGTGGTTGGAGGGTACACTAAGCAACCCCCCAATTGATAAAATGTGCTACACTTCTAGCCTATGTATGTTGTATAAAATATGAAATTACAACACAACCCCCCAACATGCATAAGGCTAGAAGGCTAGAATCAAGAGGCGGGAGGAGACTTAGGAGGAGTGAGGCCAAGAAGACGAAGTAGGAAAGAGTGAGCGGCGTGAGGAAGAGCTTTTGTGAAGATGTCGGCAAGGTTGGCCGCCGAGTCAACCTTGTCGAGGCGAAGGTGCCCCGCCTGAACAAGATCGCGAATGAAGAAATGACGGAGCTCAATGTGCTTGGAGCGCCCGTGAAACACAGCATCTTTGGTGAGGTGAATGGTACTAGCATTGTCACACCAAATTGTGGGACAGCGCTGGGGGGCACCAAGTTCCTCAAGAAGGAAGGTGAGCCAGCGGGCCTCTTGCGCAGCCATGGTGGCGGCATACAATTCCGCCTCGCAGGAGGAGAGGGCTGCAGCCGAGGAGCGGGTGGAGCGCCAGCTGATAAGGCCGCTGCCAAGAGAGAAGCCATAGCCCTGGGAGGAGCGACGATCTGGCCGGGAATCAGCCCAGGAGGAGTCACTGTAGCCGCTGAGGAGAGGTGGGGAGGGGCCGCCAAGGGTAAGGACATAGTCCTTGGTGCCACGAAGGTACCGGGGACACGCTTGGCGGCCTGCCAGTGCTCTTCCGTATGCTTGCCTGCGCCAACAAAACGAGCGAGGACGCTGATGGGGTAGGCAAGGTCAGGGCGAGTGGAGACCATGGCGTACATGAGGGAGCCGATGAGCTCGGGATAAGGATGGGAGGAGGCTGAGGGGGAGGTGGGTTGAGAGAGGTGGTGCCCGACAGAAAGAGGAGTAGGTTGGGCGCCACCGCGGACCATGTCAAACCGCTCCAAGACCTGCTGCAAGTAATGACCCTGGGAGAGAGAGATGGTGCGGGCGGAGCGGTCGCGGGTGATGGTCATGCCCAGGTAATGCTGCAGCTCTCCCAAGTCCTTGCACTTGAGTCGGCTACCCAACTCAGCCTTAACACGTTCCAACTCAGCAAGGTCGGCGGTGAGTAGAATCATGTCATCGACATATACAAGGATGTAGAAGGGGGAGGGGGAGGTGCGGAGGAAGAGGCTGGCGTCGGAGCGGGAGGTGCGAAACCCAAGTTCACCAAGGGTGGCGGCAAGCTTAGCATGCCACTCTCTAGGGGCCTGTCGGAGCCCATACACAGGTCGACGCAACTGCCAGACAGAGTCTGCTGGGAAGGGAAGGTGAAAGCCGGCTGGACGCTCCATGTAGATAAGCTCGCGGAGGACGCCTTGTAGGAAGGCGTTAGAAACGTCCATCGAGTGGATCTCCATATTGAGGCGAGCGGTGAGGTCGAGCACGGCGCGAACAGTAGCAGGCTTGGCAGTAGGGGAGAAGGTATCGAAGAAGTCAAAACCATACCGCTGCGTGAACCCCTTGGCGCAGTAACGAGCCTTATAGACGGGCGGCTCCCCTGGCAGCTGCTTGACGCGAAACACCCACTTTCCTTTCACCACGTTCGTAGGGGCGGGAGGGCGAGGCACATCGACAAAAGAGGAGTTGCCGATAAAGGCCTCCAGCTCCTTGATGATGGCGGCGAGCCATAGCGGAGCGTCAGGGCACGCCATTGCCTCCTCGTACGTGGTAGGAACGAAAATAGAGGGAGCAGAGGAGAAGGCGAAGACAGGTGTGCCGGAGAGATCGAACGTGATGGGTAGAAGCAAGGAGTCATAAAGGTGGAGGTCAAGGAACTCCTCATGGGAGTCCTCAGAGAGGGAGGTGTGGAAGGCGCGGATGACTGCTGGTGCCGCTGCTGGTGCTGCTGGTGGAGGCGTTGCCGGTGCCGGTGCTGGTACTGCTGCTGGTGCCGCTGCTGGTACTGCTGCTGGTGCCGCTGCTGGTGCCGCTGCTGGTGCCGCTGCTGGTCCTGTTACTGGTGCCGATGCCGCTCCCGCTGCTGCTGCCGCTGCTGGTCCTGCTGCTGCTGCGGCTGCTGGCGCTGCTGCTGCTGCTGGAGCCGCTGTTGGAGAGGAGGTGGCTGAGGGGGCTGTTGCATGAGGGGCTTGATGCAGGACAGCCTGGAAGAAGTGACGAAGGAGGGGGGAGAGAGGGGGGAGGGTAGAGGTAGAGAGGGTAACGGGAGGCGGTGCACCAAGGATACCGTCACGTGACCTGGTGTGGGGATACCGGGTGAGTATGGTGCGGGAAGGCGGAGGAGTGGTTAGTGGCGAGGGAGAGGAAGGGGGGGGGGGGAGGGGTACTAGGAGAGGAGTGAGCGGGGGAGACAGGGGAAGACAGAGGTTCCGGGTCAAAGATGTCACCGGAAGAGGGAGGGGCACCATGGGACTGGGACGGCGGAGAAGGGGGGGGTGGGAGGATGGGGGGAGGAGGGAGTAGTGGGGGAGGGGTGGTGTCAGACCAGACAAGGGGACGGGTGAGAGGGGGGAGTGGGTCAGTAGATGTGGGAGAGGAGTAGTAGGGAGTGGACTCGTCAAAGACCACATCCCTGCTGCGGATTAGACGACCGGATGGGGGGTGGAGGAAAAGGTAGTCGGGGGAGGAGGGATTATGACCAAGGAAGATGCAAGGAAGGATACGAGGGGCAAGCTTTCCCATGGAACGGGAGCGGTCAGAGGGGTGAATGAGGACATGTGCCTTAGAGCCCCAGACACGAAGTGAGGAGGCATCAGGCTTGTCCTTCGTCCACAGCTCAGTGGGGGTGATGGAGGGGACAAGTGGGTGAGGGTAAAGGTTAGTAAGGAGGGCGGCATGAAGGAGGGCGTAGCCCCAAAGAGAAGGGGGGCAGGAGGCGTGAACAAGCAGACACCGGGCTGTTTTGGTGATCTCTCGAACACGACTCTCAGCCACGCCGTTCTGTTGTGGGGAGTGAGGGAGGGTGTAAGTCTGAAGGATGCCATGAGACTGACAATAGGAGGAGACTTGGTTGTTAAGAAACTCACCACCTCCATCAGAGTGAAGGCGGCGAACAGGGCGTCCAAAATGGGTGTTTGCCCGCTCGAGCCAGGCGATGATCGCTGCCGGGGCATCCGCCTTCGTTCGAAGGAGAGAGACGGATGAGTACCGACTGTGATCATCAACAAGCACGAGAAGGTAGCGATGGCCCTGGCGAGTGGGAGAGGGATTAGGGCCCCATAGGTCCATGTGAACAAGATCAAGTGGCTGCGCAGCAGCGGAGGGGGAGCTCCGGTGCGGCTGCTGCTTGAGCTTGCTCTGAACGCAGACGGTGCAGGGGGGTGCAGGGGATTTGGGGAGGGGAGGGAGGGAGGAGGGGAGACCGTGGAGGAGACCGGAGGAGATAGAGGAGCGCAGAGTAGCGAAGTTGGGGTGGCCTAGCCTGTGATGGAGGAGGATGGTGGGGTGGGAGAGGGAGCGACAGGAACAGTCAGAGTCAGGAGGGCGGGGGGGGGAGGGGTGGGTTAGTGGGAGGAAGGGGAGGGGGGGGGGGGAAGGAGGGGGGGGGAGGCAACTTGGAAGGTGAGGGGGCGGGGAACCCGAAGGGTGTACAGACGGGAGCGAGGACAATAGGGAATACGGGCGAGAAAACGACCTGTGGAGGTTTGGTATAGGTCACAATGGTTAGCACCACCTGGGATGAGAGTGGTGATCATGGCTTGTTGGAGGGACCTTTGGGAGAGGAGGTTAGTACGAAGGGAGGGAATGTGGAGACCGGTGACAGTACCTGAGGGAAAGAGAGGACAGGGAAGGGTGGAGGTGTTGTGACAGGGGATGGAAAAACTGCTATCAGCGCCGAGGAGGGAGGTTGGTGTGGGGAGAGGGCGCAGTGTACCAGCGTCGCGAAGGACAGTGTCAGTGGCTCCACTGTCCAGAACGAAGTCAATGGTGGAAGAAGGTGAGACAGAGTACTGGAACGAAGTTTCATTAGCAGAAGAAGGGTACATGGGAGATGCAACAGATTCAGGTTGACCTAATAAACCAACAAAACCAGAGGAAGGGAAAGCGGTCACACTGCCACCTGCAGACGGCGCCGGGGATGCACCCGAGAGATGGGCTGCAGAGGCAGCACTCCCAGCAGTCCAGGTAGGAAAGTGCTGTTGCTGGGAAACCGGAGGAGGAGGGAGGAGGGGCAGTTGCGGCTGGAGGTCGAGCTGCTGCTGGAGATGCTGGAGCTGCTGCTGGAGCTGAGAGAGGAGAAGCTGCTGCCCATACTGCTGTGACCCCTGCTGCTGATTCCCAAGCAACTGCTGCTGCTGTTGCTGCTGCTGGTGCTGCTGCTGGGGAGGGGCGAGGGCCTGGTGAGCGTGGGTGGAGGAGGGAGGTTCATAGAGGGGAGAGGAACGGACCTCAAGGGGAGTGGGGCGAGGGTTGAGGGCGGACCAGCGAGGAGGGGTGCCGGTGTTGCCACGGGCAAACCACTCATCACTGAGTGCCTTGAAGCACGTCTCAGTGGCATGGGTAGTTTGGCCGCAGCGCTGTCCCTGAGTGGGACCGTAGCGAGGCAGATACTGACAGGGAGGAAAGGCAGCTGCCGTACCACGACCCGCACCACTGCTGCCAGCACCACCGCGACCTACTGATCCCCCTCGTCCACCCCCACGCGCACCACCACGCCCACCCCCACGCCCACCGCCACGGCCACCCCGGCTGCTGCGCGACTGGGCTGCTGCGGCTGTGGAGGAAGAGTGGCGAAGGATCTCAGCTTCGGTGGTGATAATCCACTGAGCGACTTCGGCAGGGGTGTGGTGCTTGGAGATAAGCTGCATGTAAGCAAGCTTGTGAGCGTCGAAGGCAGGTGTGAGGCCCTCGAGGAGGTGGCAGCAGATGACGGTGTCCGTGTACACCACATCGAGTGCTGCAAGGCGCCGAGAAAGGTCTAAGACACGGCGAGTGAAAGCAGCTGCGCCAGAAGTGGAATCCATGGAGAGAGTTCCAAACTCCTGGATAAGGGCGTAAAGAGTGGCAACGTCCTGCCGATCGAAAAGGTCGACCAGCAGTCGCCACAGGTGGGAGGAGGAGGTAGGTGAGAGCTCGCGTTTGAGGGAGGAGGGGATGGTGGCGAGAAGAATGGCAAGCGCACGTCGATCAGCAACCCGCCAGGTAGTAATTTTCGTGGTGTAGTCTGCAAGTTCTGCAGTGTAGGTGTCCAGGTCCTCCTGGTACTTGTTGTAGCGGGCAGCGGCGTCGTCATAGATGCGCCTGTCATCCTCGTAACGCAGTTGCAGGCGCAGGTGCTCTTGGAGATTGGTGCGGTAGGTGCGAATGGCGGTTTCCGAGCTCTGCGGGTCGTTCACATTCGGCGCAAAGGCGGGAGGATCACCGGGGGGAGAGGGCTCGGCGCCAGGGTGGGCAGGGGGAGGTCCAGTAGGAGCGGTGGGGGCCGCGGGCTGAAGTCCACCGCCTTCCTGAAAGACAACCGAGCGAAGGTTGTAGCCGCTGACCACAACAGAGGAGAGGAGCACCTCGACGGAATGAGCATAAGAGTGCCAATTAGCAGCGGAGTTGTCAGGCAGCAACTCGAGTGCATCAACAGTGGCAAGGTCGACGGAAGAATCGGACGACGATGCCATAGAGATGAGGGTGGGTCGAGGCTAGGGCAGGAGGAGGATGGTGTGAGGGTACCGTTGCCAGTGCTGCTGCTGGCCCTGCTGCCCGTGCCGCTGCTGGTTCTGCAGCTGGTGCCGCTGCGGATGCTGCTGCGGGTAGGATGGGAGGAGGAGGAAGGGAGGAGCGGAGGGTGAGGAAGGTGGAGGAGGAGGAGGGCGATGCTATGGGGGATGCAAGGGGGAAGGGTGCTGCTGGTGGTGCCGCTGCAGGTGCTGCTGCTGGTGCTGCTGCAGGTAGGATGGGAGGAGGAGGACGGTGGATGAGGAGGGCGATGCTATGGGGGAGGCAAGGGGGAAGGGTGCTGCTGGTGGTGCCGCTGCTGGTGCTGCTGCTGGTAGGATGGGAGGAGGAAGGGAGGAGCGGAGGGTGGGTTGGGTGGAGGAGAAGGAGGGCGATGCTATGGGGGAGGGGCAGATCTGGGCGCGCGGAGGGCAGATCTGGGCGCGCGGAGGGCAGATCTGGGCGCGCGGAGGCCAGATCTGGGCGCGCGGAGGGCTGATCTGGGCGCGCGGAGGGCAGATCTGGGCGCGTGGAGGGCGGATCTGGGCGGGCGGAGTGCAGATCTGGGTGCGGGAGGAGGAGATCTGGTGGCGCGGAATCCAGATCTGGGCGCGGAATGATCAGATCTAGGCGCGGGAGGAGTAGATCTGGTCGCTGGAGGTGCAGATCTGGGCGCTGGAGGTGCAGATCTGGGCGCTGGAGTTGCAGATCTGGGCGCTGGAGGTGCAGATCTGGGCGTTGGAGGTTCAGATCTGGGCGCTGGAGGTGCAGATCTGGGCGCTGGAGGAGGAGATCTGGTGGCGCGGAATCCAGATCTGGGCGCGGAATGATCAGATCTAGGCGCGGGAGGAGTAGATCTGGTCGCTGGAGGTGCAGATCTGGGCGCTGGAGGTGCAGATCTGGGCGCTGGAGTTGCAGATCTGGGCGCTGGAGGTGCAGATCTGGGCGCTGGAGGTGCAGATCTGGGCGCTGGAGTTGCAGATCTGGGCGTTGGAGGTGCAGATCTGGGCACTGGAGGTGCAGATCTGGGCGCTGGAGGTGCAGATCTGGGCGCTGGAGGTGCAGATCTGGGCGCTGGAGTTGCAGATCTGGGCGTGCCTTGGAGGGCAGCGCCTTAGGGGACCGAGGGAGGAAGGCGTGAGCCATTAGCTCATGATACCATGTTGCAAGTGAGAGAATTGATGCATTGAATAATGAGCCAAGAGGCTCTTTAGTACAAACAATGAGCAAGAGAGAGATGAGAGGGAAGCTTACTCTATTGGCCAATAAGTTGGCCAATGGGTGAGCTTGCTTGTGACCCAAGCAACCACAAATGTGTGTTGGTTGGGATTGGTTGAGCTAAGGACCAATCCCAACCAACCACAAAATGTGGTTGGAGGGTACACTAAGCAACCCCCCAATTGATAAAATGTGCTACACTTCTAGCCTATGTATGTTGTATAAAATATGAAATTACAACAAATGAAAGGCCATGACACGTCATGAAATGACACGCCACGCCATGCCATGCCATGCCATGCCATGCCACCCCACCTTCCACGCAGCAGCCATCTCCAGGTCAAAGTCCATCCACCGGCTGGGCGTCAGCTCAATGCCACGCACAATATTACCATGCCACACCCATACACCATCGGCACCTTAGCGCCATACACACATCACCAGCGCCATGCCATCCGCCTTCCACGCTGCAGCCATTTCAAGGTCTAAGTCCCTCCACCGGCTGGGCGTCAGCTCAATGCCAAACATGCAAAGCATGACACCACACATCATGCAGCATGCACCATGCAAGCACCACCATCCCACCTTCCGTGCAGCAGCAATCTCCACCGGCTGGGCGTCCACTTGTTACCAACCACGAAAATTCCATCCCACACACACACACCATCAGCACCATAGCACCTTACACACACCATCAGCACCATAGCA